GGACTTTCTTCCTCTGTGGATGATTACCCAGTGGACACCATTGCAAAGAGATTCCGCTATGACTCAGCTTTGGTGTCTGCTTTGATGGACATGGAGGAAGACATCCTGGAAGGCATGAGATCCCAGGACCTTGAGGACTACCTGAGCGGCCCCTTCACGGTGGTGGTGAAGGAGTCTTGTGATGGAATGGGAGACGTGAGTGAGAAGCACGGGAGTGGGCCAGTAGTTCCGGAAAAGGCGGTCCGTTTTTCATTCACGATCATGAAAATCACCATAGCACAGGGCTCGCAGAACATGAGCGTGTTTGAGGAAGCCAAACCTAACTCTGAGCTGTGCTGCAAGCCTTTGTGCCTCATGCTGGCCGACGAGTCTGACCATGAGACTCTGACTGCCATCCTGAGCCCTCTCATGGCTGAGCGGGAGGCCATGAAGAGCAGTGAACTGATGCTTGAGGTAGGCGGCATCCTCAGGACCTTCAAGTTCATCTTCAGGGGAACTGGATATGATGAAAAACTTGTCAGGGAGGTGGAAGGCCTTGAGGCTTCCGGTTCGGTCTACGTTTGCACTCTTTGTGATGCCACCCGGCTGGAAGCCTCTCAGAATCTCGTCTTCCACTCTATCACCAGAAGCCACACCGAGAACCTGGGACGCTACGAGGTCTGGCGTTCCAACCCATACCACGAGACCGTGGAAGAGCTGCGGGATCGGGTGAAAGGGGTCTCCGCCAAACCGTTCATCGAGACAGTCCCTTCCATAGACGCACTCCACTGCGACATAGGCAACGCGGCGGAGTTCTACAAGATTTTCCAGCTGGAGATAGGAGAGGCGTATAAGAATCCCAGTGCCTCCAAAGAGGAGAGGAAAAGATGGCAAGCCACGCTGGACAAGCATCTCCGGAAGAAGATGAGCCTGAAGCCCATCATGAGGATGAACGGCAACTTTGCCAGGAAGCTCATGACCAAGGAGACGGTGGAGGCCGTCTGTGAGTTGATACCTTCCGAGGAGAGGCACGAGGCTTTGAGGGAGTTGATGGGCCTCTATCTGAAGATGAAGCCCGTGTGGCGGTCATCGTGCCCGGCTAGAGAGTGTCCAGACTCCCTCTGCCAGTACAGCTTCAACTCACAGCGCTTTGCAGAGCTTCTCTCTACCAAGTTCAAGTATCGCTACGAGGGCAAAATCACCAACTATTTCCACAAGACGCTGGCGCATGTCCCTGAAATCATCGAGAGGGATGGCTCGATTGGGGCTTGGGCCAGCGAGGGCAATGAGTCTGGCAACAAACTGTTCAGGCGCTTCCGGAAAATGAATGCCAGGCAGTCCAAGTGCTACGAGATGGAAGACGTTCTCAAACACCACTGGCTGTACACCTCCAAATACCTGCAGAAGTTTATGAATGCTCACAATGCCTTAAAAAGCCCCGGGTTTGCTGTGAACGCACAGGCCAGTTTAGGGGAACCCTCAGGCATGGAGGACTCTCTGGAAAGCCAGGATTCAATGGAATTCTAAGAAGGGCTACCACTTATGTGTTGGTTTTTGCAATTGAGTTTTCCTCTGGGCTGCACCGAGGGCCTCTGCCAGCACACCCTTCACTGCTGTGTGTCGTCCTCTCCCACCCAAGAGGTGGTAGGTTTGAGGGAGAGGTTTGACGTCAGGAAGAGATAGATGAACTGATTGCTTGAGTCATTTAGTGAGTTCCGAAAAGCAACAGGAAGAATCAGGTATTTGAAAGCTTAGCAGCTCAGAACAGGAGTAACTGCAGGGGACCAGAGATGAGCAGAGATCTAGTGTGTGTGCATGACTGAGTGTCATGTAAGTCCATCAAAGTCAAGGTTGTCAAAGAGCTGTCAGTGAGGCCAGGAAGGAAACTATCTTGTGGTTTCACTTTTCCTTCTTGATTTATTATGCATTGCATTGAGATATGATCAGTGTTTTCTATTTCATTTTTGTATAATTCTTTAATTTTTAAATTTCACATATCTTGGCTTATTCTACAAGATTCAAAAATGCTTTTTAGATTTTTCTAATAATGTCCTACATTGGCACAATGACCTTTACAAAGTGCAACTTCTCATTTGGTACATTTATGCAGAAATACCCTACATCAAGAAAACTTTAAAAAAGATTCCTAGTCTAGGTTTAAGTTGTGTATTTGTTGTAACCTTCAGAGTTTAGGAGGTCATTTGCTGTCATGGATTTTTCAATAATGAAGCTAGAACATACCTATTAGAAATGCTTTTCCATACAACGTCAAGGCCACAGGGGTTTTTAAAAATTCGGGTTTGTGCAATATCTAAAGACAGATTTCAAGTATTGCTGAAGATTTTTGCCAGATTTTCTCTTTATGAAACCTGGGTCAATTTTACTAGATCCAGGTTTCGTGGAGTCCTCACCTCCGCAATGTGTTATTTTTCCATTGTGATCAGTTTGCTTTCAGTGTATTCACATTTTTGTAGCAGGGTAATCTTGTACTTTTCCCCTGCTAAGTTTTGATGGAGACCACGCATAGTGCAATGGAAGAGTTAACATTTGTACAGTGGTTTTTTTTGGGGGGGGAGGGGTTGCCACTTTTGGGTGGTTTTCACACTCATTTTGCCTCACAACAACTCTGCAGAGTAGGCATTGTGATGATCTCCATTTGATGAAAGCTGAAATGATCTGCCCGAATTTACAGGGACGGTAAATACTTGATTTGGAATTTGAACTCAGACCTTTTGTCTTCAAAGTGCATGTTCTTTCTACCACAAAAATTAATCACTATCTTTGTTCATAAGTTAGTATGAGAATTTGCTTAGGATTCACTATAGTTCATAACCTTGGGATTACATTTTTGGGGACAGGGTGGGTGCATTTTTGAGTTATTTGTGTGTTCTGGGCCTTTTGATAGAAGAAGGTGATGCTAAGGCTTTACAGATTCCCCAAACCTTGAGTTGCTCCAGTTATTTGGAAACTGTCACGTGAATCCTTGAGAATCTGGGATTTGCCAGTTGCTGGGGATGTTGAGTAGGCATGAGGTTTTATATGCTTGTGAATCGTAATAATATGTTAGCGTTAATTAGTTTTTGCTCCCTTTGATTTTATTGGTCATAATTGCCACTCTTCATACACAGTATATCAAAGAGCTTTATAATTTGGCTGTCAAATGTACATCAGCGACATTATCCTAAATGGTAATGCATTTGATGCTTTTGCAGGGATTGAACTCAGTATTTTCCATTAAAAAATACAGCAGTTATTCTTGTTTTTTATATGCAGAATATCAAAGCCATTTTAAATTTATTTGTCAAAAACAGACATACTTTAACCTACTTTTTGGGGGGGAAAACTTTTCATTTTGTGTTTTGAAAACGAATGGACTTCTAAGCCTTCATCCCGCTTAATCCTTACAGCATGTCTCTGCATTAATAAACAGCTACATTCACTTAATCATCCTATTCCCTGAGGCATGCTGGTTCTGGTTTGTAGATTTTTTCCCGTTTCCACTCTGTTGCTCAGTTGGTGGCACTGTAAATACTTTCCAGTATTAGATTATCCTCTTCTAGCATTGTAGAAACTATTTTGAATACATGTGACTAAGAGCATGATTTATAGCACAACCTTCCCAATAATCCCTTAATCAGATCACATTTTGATAAACCCCAGGAACATCTGGCTGCAGGAATTTCAGTATGTAGAAATACTGCCTCTGGTTGTTTTTTGTCATTGTTGAGATGGCAATATCCTAGACCCTAGTTTTATACTCGAGTTTTATTTTTAACAATGCCCATTGCCAATGCAGTCACATCCTCTAGGGAAATTCACCACACTGAATGGAATACTCTTTTTTTTTTTGAAGTATAGACTGAGACTTCAGAAGTGCAATGCATTTCTCTCCTGTGAACCCTGGTTCTACAAGTGTTCCTATCAAACCACTGCGGTGCATTACAAGGAACAGTGATAATGGCTGATGAAAATTGATGATTGGCCAGGAAGGTCAAGAACAGCCTGGGGATTAATAAGAAGCAATAGCAGGAAGAAAATGTATCTTTTCCTTCCAAGTGAACTGGAATTTAGTTTTGCCTCAATTTGTTTTCACAGGATATAGATGAAGATAAAGATATTTCTGCTTTAGAGCGTGACTCTAACATGACATCAAACAGAATTCAAATTCCACACAGCTAGGAGGCAGGATTTTTGAGCAGCTGTGGTTGTCATTTGGCAGCAAGTGGTTTTTTAATGCAGATACATGTGTGTCTTCAGAAGCTGCATGGCAGATGGTCTATTCTTTTGATGTTAAGAGATTTTAAGTGAGAGTACATACTTTGTACCCATTTTACTGTTTTCCCTTTAGAGTAAGCTACATAAATATACCTCAGAATTCGTTTTTGGTGAGATTCTTCTTTTTATAGAATTGCACCTCACTTTATTTTCTTACAAATAATCTTGCATTATGTTTAACAGTTTCTAAGAACCTTTTTTTCTCTGTTCTAGAGTATGTTCAGGTACTAGAACACAACTGATTTATTTGCTGTGTGGCACCTGTATTTCCATGTCAAATATTTTCAAGTGAAATAAAATATAAATTTCAATTCTTACTTTTATATTTTAATATTTTCATTCATTAATATTTCGGTTATTGCTAACAAGTTTATTTTTAAGTTTTCGAAATAAAAGTTTAAGATTTTGAAATAGTGAGTATTGTGATTTGTATTCAAATAATAATATTGGGTGCAGCATTTCAAAATCAACACCTTTTTCCTTGAGAGAA